AACTAGAGAAAGTTTCTAATTAATGAAAGTTTGGTGTAGTCTTGAGGCGGCCGGTTAAGCCCGAGACCGGTTTAATCAGCGCCGGTTTAAACAGGTTTGACCTGTATCAGAATTCCATATTGTTTGAGTCTATGCTATTGTTGCACGTTCTGACTATTCATGGTATTTTTAATAAGCCTCAATACAGTACAAATCATTTTGCTTAATTTAGGTTATTAATAATAATACAGTTTATACTATTGTCCAGGCAAATACATGCAATTAAAGCACGTCAAGAGGAAGAGAACATCTTTATGTCTAAGTGTCTTACTTTGTTAGTGTCTACTTTTTTATTCCAGAATGTAAGTGATGAAGCGCTTATCTCACTAAGACTAGATCCCAAAGCAAGGTAAATAATATCATGATCAGTTTATAAAAGCTGATGCTCCTGCCCTTTGTATGTTCTAGTCATTTCTGGTAATGCAGCTCATTACCTTTTCTTCATGTATAACTAGTCAACAAATGCAGAAGAGCACTTCAAACTGATGCTTTTGCATCTAGAGAATCTGATTGTTGAAATAATAATTGGCTAAAGGGTAAGAGTTGTGTTGCACATACAGTAACTATATAGCCAGCCTTAATGAATTATATAGCATAGCATACATGTATAACACAGCATCCTTAGAGATTTACTACTTTTGAAGTAATGCAAAATCTATTAAGATTGCAACATCCCGAGAAATGTAATAAAATTTTATTGTATTCGTATTTTTATCTATGTTTATTCTTATGGTTAACGTACAATACATATAATAAAGTTAAGACATTATTTTATATAGTTAATATGCACACAACTTAACGATTAAAATATCAAATCTAATACTAGTATGCTAATTTCTTTTTATCGTGTCGAGTAATCTCTTATAATAATTTGTCAATACATATTCGTACTGGCAAGCATACAGACAACTTCCTGCCTTCTTAGTCTGGTCATTACATCGTTTGGCTCGATAGCCAATGACGCATTGAGATCGTCTAATGCGTTGTCGTATTGATTAAACGTAAGATATACCTTTGCTCTCGCCTTCAATGCCCAGACGTTATTTGGTTCGACAGTCAAAGACTTGTTGAGATTGTTCAGCGCAGAGTTGTATTGACCAAGCATGCGATAGACGTCTCCTCGTACTCTCAATGCCATTGCATTATTTGCTTCGATCCTCAACGACAGGTTCAGATCATTCAGTGCTAAATCATATCGACCCAGCATACGATGGACATCTCCTCTTACTCTCAATGCCCGTGCGTTATTTGGTTGGAGTTTCAGTGCGCTGTTCGTATCATTCAATGCGTTGGGAAGCCCCCCGAGCATGCGATAGGTATCCCCTCTGACACTCAATGTCATTGCGTCGTTTGGTTTAACTCTCAATGATTTGTTGAGATCAATCAATGCTTCACAATAGCGTTTGAACTTGTGGTAGACGTCTCCTCTCTGTCTCAAAGCCCGTGCATCATCCGGTTCGATTCTCAATAACTTGTTGAGAATATCCAATGCGTCATCATATAGCTGAAAGTGAATGCAAGTGTCTACACCTGATTTCAGTACGGATACATCTTCGTATGCTTCTGTCTCAAGTGTTATGTCAAATTCTTGATACTGAGACATAGTCCGGTAAATATTTGACGAAAATGTTGATTGAAGGTTTGGGGTGTATGTAATATAGTTATTTAATAATAAGAAGTATGACAATAGAGTGTTCAGAGTGCAGAAACTAATCGGCTATTATATAATCTGCGACTCCGCCCGTACCACCATGTAAGGCAGTAATCATTTCCCATATCGGAGCAACAGTAATTAAAGCCGCCGCTATGTCATATAACATGAATGGCGCATACCGTCATACTATTATTACTATTTTGGACAATGATGTGATGTTCTTTAGTTTGTACTACAGTGAGAACTGCGGCACACAATCGATTAATCAGTATAATAATGTCAATGCTATTTCAAAGGCTTGCTTAAACGGGTTGACCATGTATCACAATGATTGCAACTTTACGCAGCATGACTATATAGGAGAAACACTAGATACTTGATCGGTATAATAATGAATGGGTTGGATCTACGAGGTTTCACTCATTGTAAACAACGCACTGAACGGTCTCATTAAACCAAAAATGAACATTTCATATGGAGTTAAACTGCATTCGTTAAGCAATTGATATGAATGATTTGCAATATTGAGATAATAATAAACAAAGAGCCTAGAGTTATCCCCAATAAATTACCTAAATCTCATAGATACGTATATCCTATTTGTAAACCATTCTTTCGCCAAAAGTGGTTTAATTGGTGTTAGGTTAAAGCAAGTTTGTAGCAAGGTCGCGAGTAGATTATATACTCAAGTGCAACATAGTGTCGACTGTTATTTTTTCTAATTATGGGCGTTGTTCGCCACATCAGGTTTTGATATATTCTTGACTTACAGTATGTTTGTATAATAATAAATTGTTTGAGGAGTGCTCCTATCTATCAATTGTTCGATAGCTATTGTGTTTCATTCGCTTAACTACTACATTACATAACAGCAGCCAATATTTAGAGTTTATAAACCGTCAGGTGTACTTTATCCTGTCAAAGTGTCAAAACATAAACACGTAAATTTCCCATAACACAATAAGTACTTTAATTAACGTGCGGTTAGAATGTATTAAATATTATCAGAATTTGTTTAAACAATATATTTCGCACAAATTTTTGCTAATACAATATGAATGTTGCTCTAAAAATTAAAGTTCTTTAATAATGGGTCGCTGCTTTTGGGGGGCTCTTTACTGAAGTACTTCTCCATATATAGCATTTTGGTCAAATGCACACACTGTAAATTAAATGCGAGTTTAAAATTTCATATCATTTCCATAATGCGCAGTCGAGGAACCAGTTTTACGTATTTGATACTAAATAATAAACATATGCTTTGCTTTATGAAGTAATTTAGAATAGTTGGCTATAGATATATTATACTAATAAATCTTGACCACGTTAACATTTAATTATCACATTATCAAAAACTACGCTCTATATAATGTTTCCGATGGTTAAACAACATAATTAATGTATCGAATTTAAGAATACACATTTACTTATTAACAGCCACACGATTTAGCAAATTATCCAGGAGCAAAAAACAAATATTACGATGAATCGTAGTATAAGTTAAGAGACAAATGTAATGCTATTTTCTATACTGTAAGTAATGAAATATTAAACACACGGATGCTCGTCCACGAAGAATTGTACGATCAACACATGCCATTATCGATCGGGAATCGAAAGTAACAATTATACAATTATCGAAAATATGTATGCCGAGTATTAATCTAATCTTAATGTACTGTAAACTAGAGATATATTTCGTACATTTTAATTGGAAATTAAGCATAAACTTTATTTCCTTCCAAATACGCGTCTAATCGAAACAGTCAACTGTGCGTTCTACTCTTATGTATGTGCGCACCGACAAAAAACTCGGTCACATAACTTTGTTACTTGTGTCATTTGTTTACTTGTTTACCCTTTTCGTTTTATCAAAAACGAGGGTTTGATTGACTGACATAACCACTCTGTGGGCAAAATAGTATTCAAGACGCCCACATACACTTTGCTTTCTAAGTATATGATAATAAGAAACTTAAAAGTTTTTGGAAAGAGCTTGGAAAAAGCACATATGTTAATTTGATCAAAGCATGCCGCCAAGATTGAATAAAAATAATGGACGGTAATGCTGTTGAGCGGCGCAGCAATAAGTGATGAAGAACCGTATCTGTAAATTTTTATCATTCTCGTTGCACAATTAGTAAAGATGTGATAAGCACAGTATATATATATAACTGTAGGAGGTGGACTGAGTAACCATCTCTACTTTGCGACACTTTTTTCAATTATTAAATGAATATACTGTTTCTGTAAGTTAAACGATTCAAAAAAAACTTGTTCTTTCGCACAAGACCACGAGCTGAAACAAAAAAATCCAGCGGATATCAATGAAATAGTCACCGGCTCGGCATGTTGCAATCAGACGATATCACATAAAGATTAATCTGATTCGAAGACAGCCGATTATTGAATAATAACCAATTAGCACTATTGTCTCTATAAGTGAATCTACACCATGACTCGTAGAACCCAAAAGATCTATTGTTTCCAGCTCTAATGAATGGATGGGAGATTAAATGGTTTGAAGTCAGGTTTAATTCACGCCTTCATATCAATATGTAAATCACTGTTTCATACCTGTAATTAAATCGAGAGCACGCTTATTCGTTGGTATAGGTAATTTCCAGTAGGTAATAGCTACCAGCATATTTAGCACACGAGATAAAGGTTTCCCATTTGACAATAGAGGCTATTCCACACATTGTCGCCAGATTCATCCTCGTCCGTCTCTTTATAACGAGTCGGTCAAGAATTGCGATAAGTTCTCTTGTGGCATCGAAACAACTTTCAGCAAGTTCTCTGCAAAGTTCGGGTGCTAAATCAGGCATTGTCGGTCGCAGTCCATTACAGAAATCACCGGGCGGTACGCCTGGCCATATAATACCGAACGCGTATGTTTGATTTCTGAGTGAATTGAAACTATGGAAAACAACACGCCATGCATTGTTGAAATTCGACTCGCATAAGTTTAACCAAGATCACACAGGCATTAATGGATACTATGCAGACAATGTGCAATATCCTCCTCCAAATGCTGTAATTTCATCTTCCAGGGCCAATTTGATAATTATTAGCATATTGCATTACTATTCTGCCAGCGGGGCGTTTGTGTGTAAATGTTGAGAAAATCTAAGTGTGCCGTACATTTGTAATGATTCATCAACTGAGTATTGTATATAAAATGAGCGATTACATATCAAATCTTGATAGTATTAATCACAATGCTATGCACAGTTTACTTACTTCGGAAACGAATAGCTCTGGTAGCCGATCAAAATTCTTGAAACGTTTAAAGCAGCACTTTGATCTAATGACTCACGTTTGGCGATGTACCCAATTTCTTCAACTCGGGTCTGTCATGTACAAATCTGCTCAATACTGTTAATGTCGTCGAGTAATCTTTTCTATAGTCGTTAAACATTCTCATTGCAAATGAATAGTTGGTTTGTACACGGACGATAGCGATTTTTTTACCTCAAATGATTGAGAATTCTGCTCATCAGCTATCTTCTTGAACATGACTTCGATCATCGATAACTACTATCGCGAGGGACTTTAAGTTTATTACACTCGCACGCATTGAAAAAAAGGCCCGCGCTGTTCATTGTGCACTACCAAAAACTGTGACGTTTTTGGAAAGCTCATCGACGTGTGCCTGCTGCGCATACACGCAACCTACACATTATTTGTTAAATGGTGCCCTCAAACAGACATGCCTTCCGAAAGAAGGCGCAATTTGCGTTCAAAGATTCGATGGTTCACAAAGTTCTGCAATTCACACTACTTATCGCATTTCGCTGCATTCTTCATCGATGCGAGAGCCAATAGATCCGTTATTGAAAGTTTGTTTTAATTCTGCTCATCAGCTATCTTCTTGAACATGACTTCGATCATCGATCGCCTCTACAAGTCAGTTTTGACCAATCAGCCGTATGCGCGTATTTGAAGTTAGCGATAATATTTGTTCATTGTTCCGTGACTTCATTATGAATAAGTCCAACAATTTGTTACCAGTGGTCCAGTCGGGAGGATTTGATGCCTTACATCCATAACGGAATGCATGTATTTTCGGATGTAAAGTCGACGTACATGCATAGTCGTTTTACTTAAGTTAACGTCGTATGTAAACCCCCCAATAAATAGTAATCCAAACATATGTGATGTGTGATCAGAATGGCTGGATATTCATCAGATAACTACATACATGTAATAGCCGTTGAAAACTTATGTTAGCTAACAATCAGATGAAAATGATATCCATTATTACATGACATGGATGTTATATTGGATATTCCTGCCTGGTATTAATATGAATCATTCGTTTCATCCGCAAAATCAATTCTACGTTTTCACGAATAGGTAGACCGATGCTCTTTCATCTTAATATAATCAAATGGAATCTATTCCAAGTATGCTTCGTTTGTTTGATTCTGTTTGCATTTGTGATTTACCGAGTTTTTTGTTGTCGCTCGTCCAGTCCACTTGATAGTTCTCTACAACCACAAATACACAACACAGGACTACATCTGAACCTTCCACATGCAGAGTAGAGAATGAAAATTGCTCCTAGCCACGAGATTGTAGTTGTCGTGGTGATAACTCATATTAATATCTACGTACGACTGTCAAACCAGATATCTTTTAAACTCGCCGGCCGATATTAATATTGGGTGTATCGTGTCGCAGAGACGGAAGTGAGTACATTCTAGCGGGTACCCTTGTCATTGCTAACAATGAGTGCAGTTTGATCAGATTATTAAGCTCCGCTGTTGAAATTCTGGTTCTCAAGTCACATGACACATATTACTTGAAAGAGGGATTTCAACGCACTTCTTAATCTGACTACTTTTATTATTATCTCTCACCTTGCAAATTAAGCAACTTATGACATTTATCTTGCAATAATAGAAATTTTGTTAAGATATGGGATAGCTTAATAGCATTTTGACATAAAAATCTGTAAACAGACATTTATTTCTAAAGTTTCATATCATCAAAATTGACTTCGGATTTGAAAATCTCAATAAAAGGATTTATCATTAAAAGCTGCTATGAAATATCTCTAGTCTAGAAAGTCCCAACTATCTATCATTACATTAACAAAGCTGGCAATCATTATACCTTTAATCATCACAGTACAGACCTAATCAGACAGCTTTTCCCAAAAAAGTCTGAATGATGGGGAGCATTCAAGTTCTTGTTTAATAAACTAATTTGGGACAAGTGCCTCTTGATTTCAATCAATTGAAAAGAATGCTAAAGACAACGGAAAGAAAATACTGTGTACATTGGCATGACGGCGGTGAAAAACTTTAAGCTGGATTTCACTAAGTGGTAGTTAATGTCAAACATCATCGGTTAAGCTAAGCCTTTCATTGGTTCATCTTGTGGATATAACTCTCAATTTTGACGAGACCATAAGCCAACCAAGAATAAGAATGAGTTTATGGTTATTAAAGTTGAGTTGATTATAGAATCTATTGATTCCGCCCGCCGGAAAGCGTTTGTTATTGTTCCAACGATTACGTAAACTTGTAATACGTATCCCAATATTTGATTTGTCAACAAGTTATCTGTAATTTTTCAGTTATGTCTCGTCAATACAGTGCGAGTGCGAAGGAATGGTTAGATATAAACATTCGCAATGGATTCATTACATGTTATTCGAAGAGTGATGTTGAATTGGAGCCTTACCCTTTTGATCACGGTGGATATGCAGTGGTATACAAGGCAAGGATGGTACTATCCAATGAACTTGTAGTGACAAAAACGTTGCTCTCACGCTCATATGAAGACGATACCGAACTACAGGAAAAGTTTGCAAAAGAGGTTAATTTTGACTACATTTGTGATTACTGCTATTTGTGTTTGCATTATAATTATGCTAATTTGTATTTACAAACTGTAATTCTCAGTTGTCAAATCATAGCCGGGCGAGTCACCATCCAAATGTTATTAAATTTTTAGGTCTCCTTAGAGGTATATAACATGCACTTGTAATGAATTGTTATATCAGTAAAATAATTGTGTCTTTTTACATTATTAACAGATGAACAATGTAATTACCACATGATATTGGAATATGCTGATGGAGGAAATTTGAATGCTTACTTGAAGAAACACTTCACAAGTTTGACATGGAAGGAGAAATACAATTTAGGATTATCTATCACTAGTGGATTGGGATATTTGCACTCACTTGATATTATACACAAAGACTTGGTTTGTATTTGCAGCTTTTTATCTTATATTCCCATTAACCATGTGTATGTTCAACTACAACTATTCTGATGTATTTGCCCTTTTATTTTTAGTCATCTAACAACATCCTTATCCAAAAGGGCATTGCTAAAATAACTGACTTTGGTTTATCTAGTGGAATAATGTCCATATCACATGGTGACTGTACTCCGGCATACAAGGATCCATTGTCCTTGGGGGACATGCCATATAAACGTGGGAAAAAATCTGACATCTTCAGCCTTGGAGTAATTCTTTGGGAAATCTCCAGTGGAGGAATTCCATGTGAAGGACGTAAAACAAGCAATGCAATTTATATATACAGACTAAATGGTTTTCGAGATCCTCCATCAGATGGAACACCTCCAGAATACGTTAGTTTGTATTCAGAATGTTGGGATGAAGATCCCAAAAATCGACCATACTGCAATCATGTCTATGCAAGATTAAAATATTGTGATATGATAAATGATTTCAATATATCTTTGGAGATTGAACCTAATAATGCTTATACATTAAGTTTAAGAGGGGATGTCTATCTTAAACTTGGTCAGTATGAAAGTGCATTAAGGGATCTTGATGAGTCATTTGAGATTGAGCCAGATAATGTATTTACATTGAGAGTAAGGGGAAATGTTTATCTCAAGTGTCATGAATATGGTAAAGCATTAAATGATCTCAATAGATCATTGGAGATTGACCCTGACAACACAAATGCAATGAGAGTAAGGGGAAATGTCTATCTCATGCTTCATCAATATGATAATGCATTAAATGATCTTAATGCATCATTGGAGATTGAACCAAATAACACATTTGCATTGAAAGTAAGGGGAGATGTTTATCGAAACCTTGGTCACTATGAAATTGCATTAAATGATCTCAACAAATCATTAGAGATTCAACCAAACAACACAAATGCATTGAATTCAAGGGGAGATGTTTATCTTAAACTTGGTCAGTATAATAGTGCATTAAATGATCTTAGTAAATCATTGGAAATTAGACCAAACAGTGTTTTTACATTAAGTGTAAGGGGAGATGTCTATCTGAAACTTGGTCAGTATAATAATGCATTAAGTGATCTCAATGAATTATTGAAGATTCAACCTAAAAATGCATATGCTTTGGGAGTAAGAGGGGCTGTCTATCTCAGACTTGGTCAGTATGATACTGCATTAAGTGATCTTAATGAATCACTGGAGATTGAACCAACCAATTTGCTTGCTTTGCATGTAAGGGGAAATGTGTATTCCAAACTTTGTAACTATGACAATGCTTTAAGAGATCTTAATAAGTCATTGGAAATTGAACCAAACAATGCTTTTGCATTGAATTTAAAAAAAGAAATCTGTTCAAATCTTGGTCAGAATTAGATGTATTTTCAATAGATGTACAAGACAATACTATTTGATTGAACATTATTTAAGTTTCCATCAGTATTTGTATGGTATTGATTGTTAATACAGTAATGTACATTAGCAATAATACTTTTTTTTTATAACTATAATTGTTTTTCCAGCAATTCTTACTAAGTAAATAGCAAGACATTGTAGACAGAACTGAGAATATCTTGTGTCTAAATATTATGCTGAAACAATGGAAGTTGTATGTTGATACAAACATAATTTTTGATGAGAAATTCTATACCCAGGTTGAACATCTAATACTAACTACAAATTATCACAATTACAAATTATGTTGATAGTGGAACAATAATATCAATATTATTATATAGCATTATTGATTTAAATGTAAATCAGAATTAAATTAATTAAACTGTAATTTTAAATGATAAGAATTGTTATTGTCTTATTGTTATAAAGACTACAATATGAATATGTTGTATGCATATTCCGGATTTCATAGGTAATTTGCGCCAGATCACCAAAACGTGATTAATTTCTATCGATAAATGCATATTGACTTGTTGATAACCATGATGGCAGCGTTTGGTTCACGAGTGCTATGCAACCATATTATGATTGCACAGAAAACTGATGACAATTGTGTTACGGCATTAATTTTAGAACAGTAGTGATTTCAGTGTCAGGCGCAGAAAACGTTTCCTGATTTTCGTGTCAAAAGTAACGCCGTAGCTAAATTTTTAATTCGTTTTTTATGTATTTTACAATTATTTAGTTATTTTTGAAAATGTTCCGCACGCATTTTCCGTATCTATAAGTGACCCATATCCCATCGTCGAAAACTCATATTGTAATGTTGTTAATGTTGCTCATGCTGTTAGTGATATTGTTACAGATAACCCATTTCATGGAATAATAATCAAA